GTTTCCCCATCTCCACCAGTGATCCACTTTCAGTCTTAGCTGCATTTAACACCTTGGTCCTGCGAACAATTCAATTATTGATTGATTCCACTAAGGGAAGCACTGTAGGCTTATCCGAACTTTCTGTTAGGGGTGTGCAACCGGACTGGGTTTACCCGAAAATCGGATCGGTCCACCCGAAAAATAGGTCCGGGAACCAGTTATAACCAGTCCGATTTCCAGTTCCAAGTAAAAACCGACCCGGACCGGTTTTAGAACCGGTTTTGTGATAATGTAGAAAAAAAGGAAAAACCCTAGATCACGTTACCCTACCCAGCTACTAGGGGTGTCAATGGGTTGGGTCGGGTTGGGTTTTCATGATACCCGACCCGACTTGAAATAATGAATATGTGTGATTGACCCGACCTGAAACAAGACCCGAACATGATATAGCCGCACACGATTGGGTCGGTTCGGTTCAGTTCGGGTTTGTGTTTTATATTTTTATTATAAATTAAGGTTAAGTTACACCTAGGGGTGTCAATGGGTCGGGTTGGGTCTAGTCTCCACGCTACCCTACTCGATCCGAATCATAACAGATATGTGGACTCTTGACCTGAACCAAACATGACCCGAAACGCAAAAACCGGATCGGGTTTCGGGTCTTTTTGGGTTCAAGCTAATATTTGACGGTGTTACAATTGCTTGAAAGTTATCGGAATTACCCAACCGCCTCCACCAATCCCCATCGGCAATAAATTGAGTGCTAATCCGTTCATTCCAAGACTGGAGCAGTTAAGATATTTTTTCCGTGTATCCACATACGATGCCATTCTTCAATTCGTCCCGATCAAACGAGGAGCTCAAAAAGGCCCGTCGCGAACATCAATTGCTCTCGACGATGAAAACTAAGGTCCGGGACTGGGAGGGTACCATGAAATGAATCTTTTCTTGTGTCCCAATAGTGCGACCTGGTTCTATCAATTACTTGATGCTTGGATGCAATATCTCTCTTTCTCTCTAAATGTCTGTTCCCATGAAAAGGCCGACTGCCATTTCTAATGAAACTGGAAATTTATTAAAAAGAACAGAAGCTGTTTGAAATATTTTTGCGAGGAACAGAGTGGTCACTCATCGCCTCCTCCCCCACTCCCTTATTATTTGCTAGTACCTCTCATTGCTAACTAGGACGACGTTGATGCATCATCCTGTTCGGCGGCCCTAGCCTTACCCTCTCTCTCTCTCTCTCTCTATGTGCTGCTCCTCCTAATGGTTAGCACATGAGGACAATGGAAAAGAGCGCACGATCAGAAGCAACCAAAATCCCAATCACAGCATACATTGAACCGATCCACACACAAGTAAACCCAAGCAAAAGAACAAAAACTTTTTGTTCACGCCACGTCGAAAAAGCCAGGACGAAGTTGAACGACAGTGCTACAAAGTGAAATGTGTTTCGGTTCTAAAAATAAAAATATATGTCTTTCGGTTCGGTTCGTGTTTAGAACACGAACCGAACCGAAACCATTGAGATACCCATTTGCTTAGCTCATACTTGAACATGAAGTTGACCTGGCCCGAAAATACCCAAAACTTCGGGTCGGGTCGGGTCGGGTCGGTTCGTGTTCCGGTTCGGGTATATTGTTTGGTTTTGACACCCCTAGTCAGCACAGTTTTTCCAACAGCTACACTCAAAACTCAATTAATTTTCTCATCATCAACTCATATCACCTCAATCTCCTAATGCGAAAACGACGGACTACCTGTTTCTGCTTCATATGTCCATGCAATCCGATCTTTTCTATTTTTTAAGTTCTGTCACTCTAGCACACTTGAATTGGAGTCATTCCAATACCGAGTTGCTTTGGCATACTAGTACTGACAAGTAACAAATTCATCCTTGTCCAATTCTGAAATTGAAGTAAACGTTACGATAAACTTTCGAGATGAGATCTGGGGTATTACAAGTCAGTTAATCGATCTTCGGCCATGAAAGTTCCAAACCCATGGTGAAGGAGTTGACGTCACAACCAAGTACCGTGGCTGTAGAGTGGGCGCCAAATAAATAAAAGAAAGAAAGAAAAAGGGAAAAGTGCTAAGCTTAGTATAAAAGGAAAAGGAGATCACGCAGAACAGTGGGAAAGAAAAGAAGAAGAAAGAAAGGAAAGAGAGAACGGGAAAGAAAAAAAAGAATCTCGTGCGCACACACCGTGGAGAGTTCGCTAAGTCGGATTTACTTCGATTCGCTAAGCGCGATAAGTATTCCCGCCGTTCGCTCTTATAATCATTGTAGTTTTCAAAAGTGGGGCACAAATTCGAAATTATGTGAAATTTGAACTGTGAAGTCCGATTTTTGAGTTGTTAAGTTGTGGAATTACATGGAAATCATGAATTAGAGCATTGTGGAGCTATGAGTTTTTACTGGAATTGATTTGAAGTAACGTTTTAGTTGGAGCAAAATTTTAGAGTTTCGCGTGCGAGCTCCGCGTCGCGTATGCCTTTAAATGATCGCTTTGGGTGAGCGATTAACTGGCACATAAGAGTTGTTGTGTTAGATATTAAGCTTTGTTTAGCCGATTTGTAGTTGAGATAATTTTTTACTTGGTTTTGATGTTATTTCTCGCTTATATGATAGAATTGCGAGTTCGCCAGTTCGAATAAACTTTATTTTTTGGTTTTAAAGGTGCGTGGTTTTATTTCTTTGAGTTTGTAAGCTCATATTTCAAAAGCGATATATATTAAATATGTTATGAGTTACAAAATGGCATGATTGGTTGTTTAAAACTGGATCGAGCATTTACTACGGTTTTATCTATCTTAAATAGAAAGTTATCTTTTGATTACAGTTTGAGCTGATTACCTGTAAATGGGTTTAGGAAACCTTTTTGTGAAAGAATTACAAAAAGCTCTACTTTGAGTATGGTTTGTGAAAGGTAATATGCATTGATTTGTAAAATTATTTTTGAAATGCATTTCTATTTGATAAATTGAGTTGTGAAACGTGATATAATTCGGTTTGTGAAACCAGTTTATGAGATGAATTGTGGTTTTGATTGTGGGATTTTTGAACAATGAGGATTAAGCGCATGTCACTATGATTAGAAACCATTAAGGAGGTAAGTATGCTTGCTGTTGAGAGGACATCCTTCTATGTCGAACCATCGACTGATATAAGTGGAGACCTAGCCAAGAGGATAAACTTAGTCGCCTTTGTCATAAGCGTCGTGACTATAGTTAGATATTAAGCATTAGATTAGTAGATAGAATAAACCATCGACGTTTGACTTGATAGAGATTGACCAATGAAACAGACCATTGATGTGTGAGTTGATGAGATTGATCAATGGACTGGATCATTGATATTTGCTTTGATATTACTGAGGAAATGAGTATTTTTATATGTATAAAGCTTTGTTAGAAGGATATAACTTTTTTTTTTTTATCTTAAACGTATACTATATTCTTGACCGAACCCTAGCCCTCTTCAACACGCAGGCAGGCGACGAGCTGGGTTGCGTTCTTACGGTGACTGAGGAGGCGCTTGCGAAGAGAGAAACCGCGAGAGACAGAGGAGGTTGCGAAGAGAGAAGAGAGAAACCGTGAGAGACAGACTATGTAGCTGGTAGGGGTGTCAAAACCAAATAATATACCCGAACCGGAACACGAACCGACCCGATCCGACCCAACCCGAAGTTTTGGGTATTTTCGGGCCGGGTCAACTTCATGTTCGAGTATTAGCTAAGCAAATGGGTATCTCAATGGTTTCGATTCGGTTCGTGTTCTAAACACGAACCGAACCGAAACACATATATTTTTATTTTTAGAACCGAAACACGTTTCACTTTGTAGCATTGTCGTTCAACTTCGTCCTGGCTTTTTCGACGTGGCGTGAACAAAAAGTTTTTGTTCTTTTGCTTGGGTTTACTTGTGTGTGGATCGGTTCAATGTATGCTGTGATTGGGATTTTGGTTGCTTCTGATTGTGCGCTCTTTTCCATCGTCCTCATGTGCTGACCATTAGGAGTAGCAGCACATAGAGAGAGAGAGAGAGAGAGAGAGAGAGAGAGAGAGAGAGAGAGAGAGAGAGAGAGAGAGAGAGAGAGAGAGAGAGAGAGAGAGAGAGAGAGAGAGAGAGAGGGGGTAAGGCTGGGGCCACCAAACAGGATGATGCATCAACGTCGTCCTAGTTAGCAATGAGAGGTACTAGCAAATAATAAGGGAGTGGGGGAGGAGGCGATGAGTGACCACTCTGTTCCGAGCAAAAATATTTCAAACGGCTTCTGTTCTTTTTAATAAATTTCCAGTCTCATTAGAAATGGCAGTCAGCCTTTTTCATGGGAACAGACATTTAGAGAGAAAGAGAGATATTGCATCCAAGCATCAAGTAATTTATAGAACAAGGTCGCATTATTGGGACACAAGAAAAGATTCATTTCATGGTACCTTCCCAGTCCCGGACCTTAGTTTTCGTCGTCGAGAGCAATCGATGTTCGCGACGGGCCTTTTTGAGCTCCTCGTTTGATCGGGACGAATTGAAGAATGGCATCGTATGTGGATACACGGAAAAAATATCTTAACTGCTCCAGTCTTGGAATGAACGGATTAGCACTCAATTTATTGCCGATGGGGATTGGTGGAGGCGGTTGGGTAATTCCGATAACTTTCAAGCAATTGTAACATCGTCAAATATTAGCTTGAACCCAAAAAGACCCGAAACCCGATCCGGTTTTTGCGTTTCGGGTCATGTTCGGTTTAGGTCAAGAGTCCACATATCTTTTATGATTCGGGTCGAGTAGGGTAGCGTGGAGACTAGACCCAACCCGACCCATTGACACCCCTAGGTGTAACTTAACCTTAATTTATAATAAAAATATAAAACACGAACCGGAACCGAACCGAACCGAACCGACCCGATCGTGTGCGGCTATATCATGTTCGGGTCTTGTTTTGGGTCGGGTCGGGTATCATGAAAACCCAACCCGACCCGACCCATTGACACCCCTAGTGCTGACTCGAATATGAATGGACAATGGCTTAACAACTAAGACGTTTCTTTTTGTCAATGTTTCTGTGCTTTGCGGAGAAAAATATGACTTGTGCCTGAGGTCTGCCATCTATAAATAGGCATCATTTTTCAAAGCAAGCGTCGAGAGTAGAAAAAAAAAGGAAGAAGACAGAAAACAACCAAAATGATGAAGAGCGTTCGACGTTCGACTTTCCGCCAGTTTCGCACTCTTGGCTCTGGTGCTGTCCTTTGCCGACGCCTATGACCCAAGCCCCCTGCAGGACATCTGTGTGGCTGTCGGCGAACCCAAAAATGCTCGTAAGCTCGTCTTTCCCTTCCTTGGTACTAGAGGTGTCAAAATGGGTCTTAAACCCATATATGACCCATTTAAAATAAATGGGTCATATATGGGTCACTTTAATTTTAAAGAGTCAACCTTAAATGGGTTTTAAATTTTAAAGATTAAAGATAAATGGATCTAAATGGGTTGAGTTTGGAACCCATGTCCAACCCACCTACTAGACCCATCCACACACTCTCTCCCTCTTTACAAATTTTTTTTAAAAAAATCGAAATTTAATTATTTTTTTCTCTTTTTCTTTTATTTTTTATTTTTTCTTTTCTCTTCTTTCTTTTTCTTTTTTTTTTATTCCGGCCGGTGGTCGGCCACGGCGACCGGCCACCCGGGCGGGACGACCTCGCCGGCCTCGGGCGAGGCTCGAGCCTCGCCGATCTGGCGAGCCTCGAGCTCGCCCGATTCCGGCGACCTCGAGGCTCACCCAATCCCGGCGAGGCTCAGCCTCGCCGATCTAGCGAGACTCAAGCTCGCCGGCCTCAAACGAGCTCGAGCTCGCCGGATCTGGCGAGGTGGAGCCTCGCCCGAGGCTGGCGAGACTCGAGCTTCGCCGGCCTCGGGCGAGGCTCCACCTCGCCAGATCCGGTGAGCTCGAGTCTCGCCAGATCCGGCGAGGTCGAGCTCGCCCGAGGCCGGCGAGCTCGAGTCTCGCCAGATCGGCGAGGCTGGAGCGTCGCCTGAGGTTGGCGAGGCCTCGGCCTCGCCTGTGGTCGGTCGCCGGCCACAGCGGCCGGCGATCGGCCAAAAATAAAGGAAAAAGAAAAATAAAAATAATTAAAAATTCGATTTAAAAAATAAAAAAAATATTAATTTTTTTTTATTTTCTTGGATAATGACTTTATGGAAAATATTTTCTAGAAATGTCACATTTTTCGTAAAACAAACAAAACCTCAATTTTGAAAAAAATTATAAAATTTTTTCACTAGCTTTGTATTGCATAAAATGTTTTGGCAGTATAATTTTAAAAAAAAATCATAAGAAACAAGTATTCTTAGATTAGGTTAAATATAAAAGTGTTTTAGCAATATGGGTCGGGTCGGGTATGGGTTGGGTATGGGTTGGGTCGGGTATGGGTCGAGATATTTACACTATGAATAAATGGGTCATAAACGGGTTAATGGGTCAATTTGGGTCGGACCATTAATGACCCGACCCAAACCCGACCCGACCCACCCGTTTAACAGGTCTAATGGGTCGGGTCGGGTGTGGGTTGGATATGGGTTGAGGCGGGTATGGGTTATTATATTTGTATTACATGGAAATGGGTTAAAACGGGTTCAATGAGTCTATTTGGGTCGGACCATTTTCGACCCGATCCAAATCCAATTCGATCCACCCGTTTGACAGGTCTACATTGAGTACACTAATTTCACACAAAACAAGACAATTAAGTTAAATGTCAGCAACAATTTCCTCTTAACAGAAACTCCTCCCTATGCAGTGTTCGTGAATGGAAAGTTCTGCAAGAACCCCGCTCTTACCACAGCAAACGACTTCCTCTTTTCCGGCCTCCAAGTTCCTAGAAGCACGGCCAATCCCGTGGGCTCCACAGTCACCACGGTGTTCGTGGACCAGCTACCAGGACTCAATACCCTCGGCATTTCCATGGTTCGTATTGACTTTGGAATAGGTGGTTTAAATCCTCCGCACACTCACCCTCGTGCGTCCGAGATTTTGCTCGTTCTGGAGGGCACCCTCTATGCGGGCTTTGTCACGTCCAACGAACTGAACAATACTTTCTTTGAGAAAGTCCTCCACCCTGGAGATGTCTTCGTTTTCCCGTTCGGGATGATTCACTTCCAGCTCAATGTTGGAAAGACCAAAGCAGTCGCGATCGCCACTCTAAGCAGCCAAAACCCAGGAATCATGACTATAGCCAATGCATTGTTTAACGCAAAGCCGCCTATTTTCCCCGAGGTTCTGGCCAAGGGGTTCCAAGTGGATGAGAAGTTTGTTGAGAAACTTCAGAAGAAGTTCTGGTACTACAATAATGTCTGAGAAATGCATCTGACAATGTCGTCATCTCTGTGTACTTGAATAAAACCTGAAGTCTTCTGATGAAGTTCCTAGTTCAAGTATGAAGAAAGTTTCCGTCTGTCACATCTTATATTGATTTCAGGATAATAAGACTGTTGTTTTCTACACCATTTACTTCTTTGCGGTTATTGTGAAGAACTTATTTTATGGAACCAAGACAGAAAAAGACAGCGAGCTCGTCAGTAGACTCTACCATGTCAGAGGATTTCCAACCTGAATGCTTTACAAGCACGAATTACTAATAACCATTGCCAGTTCTGCTAAGGCTGCATAACCAACTAATAATCAGTAACAACGAAACTTCAGTAGTTTCAAGGATCATGATGCTGCGTTGAGTTTATTGGGAATGAAGCCTCAAAGCATTCCTGTTTTATGAGAATTTGTCATTGCTATTTGCTTGCAGTGTGTACTAGTTTGAGATATTTGATCCACCACTTTGCGTCCCTTTTTACTTCCAAGTTCTGTTGTACATGTTAGTTGGGGTTCTCAAATTGCATTTTCTTTAGATTGTGCTCACCATTGATTATGCCCTTTCGCTATGTACATAATCTATGAACGAGAGGAGGTCTTCTTAATGAGTGCTAAAGTAACTAATAAGAGAAATGAAAAACAGAAAATGAGAGCTAGCTATGATGTAGGTTTCCTCATTCATATTTTACGGCAAAAGAACACTACAAGTGCCATAACTTGTGTACGGCGCTCATTTTGGTGCCATAAGTTTTTTTTTTATCACTTTAGTGCTAAAATTTTTGAAAAACGATCACTTAAGTGCCAACTCCAGTGCCGTACATAATTTTTCGCCGGAAATCCGACGTGGCATTTTTTTTTATTAATTTATGAAGCTAACGTGGCTCGCCGGAGATTGGCACTTAAGTGATCATTTTTTTAAAAACTTAGCACTTGAGTAATCGTTTTTCAAAAATTTTAGCACTGAAGTGATCCAAAAAAAACTTTTGACACTTAAGTGATCGTTTTTCCTCCTATTTGGCACTTAAGTGAGCCGGCGAAAACTTTTGACACTAAAGTGAGCGCCGTACACAAGTGATGGCACTTATAGTGTCCTTTTGCCCATATTTTACCAAGTTCATTTTGCATTATTGCTGAACAATGATCAGAATCATAAGGGTACATCTGTGAAATAAATTGTTTGCATGGATGCTGGCCCCTGATAGTAATTAGTTATGGATGATTATTAAGGTTGTTGGTCAAGTGTTAGGAAATGGGAAATCCCAAAATTCTCTACTTTAATCAGTTTTCCAAGGTATCAATACTATATGTGACCAGACAACTAAAAACTGTAAGTACTTCAAACAAAAAAGGAGAAGAAAATATTAGGAGCGCGTAGCATAAACTCGATATCTTTCACCCGGGAAGATTACCAAAAGCGTGTCCGAGCATATATATTAACATATCCAGTTGGACCCACGTTCTAAACCAATTCTCCGATGTGAGATTTTTCTAACACAACGCAGGTATATTGTCACGCCCTGAACCTCAACGAGCACGTAACATCGCTCCGAGGTCGTCAAGTACGCGACATCTAGGACTTGTCGCCGACCCAAACCAAAACATTAGCGATTAAACGCACGCGGCAGCGAATACAAACTCTCCATACAACATATAATTTAACGGGATAGTCTGGAAAACACTTCACATAAAAACCAGCAATTCATTATAAGCTCACAAAGATAGCCCAAGGAGATTTACACAATTACAAGCCTCACACGAAGCCACTTCCTAACGAAGCCACGGATACAAAAGGGAGGTTAACTTAAACTCCTCTACAACAGGGCATCCAAAAGGATGATACATCCAATGCCCAACATCACCCCAGAACTCCGAACCGCATGTGACGACTACTCGTCATTCCAAGCCTGAAAAATGTTTAACAACGGGGGATGAGATAAATCTCAATAAGTAACTACCTAAGCCTCGCTTAGGCTAACGCGTACCTCCGAAAAATCCTAACCATGCAATACCGACGTCCAATATGTCATAACAATCAGAGGCGCCCTTACCTTGCCTCGGCACATACGCAAGCCCTGCACGTTAGAATCTCGCCATTACATGGCCAATTGCTCATCAAGCTTGTACAACGCAATTCAAGGCATAATCATGCATAATACGGTTAATAATGCTCATCAATTAACTCAGGCAAAGCATTCCCCAATACAAATCACACTCATTAAGTCAAGATTATTAACGACCCCTCGGGCCACCGAATTCCCGCCGGTCTTTTGGCGTAACCAGGCATTGTCCCGCTACGTCGGCGACAGCAACGTTGGGGATCGAACACCCCCCGGCAAGCCGGATACCCAACGGCATTCCACTTAGGAGCATCGATCCGGTCTCCACCGCGATCGGCATCGTCTGGGATTGAACACCCCCCGGCAACCCCGGGTACCAGACAGCATCCGAACTCCCACCAGGCATCATCTAGAACTCCCGCCTAGACGGAACGTGACGTGATCATGCACACACATTATCCACTCAATGCCAATTTTTGTCTTTGTAAATTAGCCCAATGTCAACTAAATCCGTCAAAACGCCACAATAATACCGAATGATTATCGAGAGAGAGGAAAACCGAAAATGTACAAAATCGGATCCAAACTGGGCAGTTGTGCAGTAACCGAAATCCGTTTGAAATAAATAGTAAATCAACTCCAAAAATTCTAAATTTTGGATATGTCGTATGAAACATCTTGATAAACAGTTTCCATGCAGGACTCGAAACCCAGTTTCAACTGTAAACACCTCTTTTTGTCACTTGAAGTCAGACGAAATTCAACCCGTCCGGTCAGGCCGCCTGACCATCAAAATGCATCTCATCTAGTACCCAAATCACTTTGTAAAGCCTTGAAATTTTTATATGTCATAGAAACGGATGTTATTAACAATTTTTGTGAAGGAATTTTGTTGAAAAGAGGTCTGGAAAAATTTATAGAAAATCGGAAAGACCAGAAGGTCGGGTAAACATTAAATCCGACAGACTGAATTCGGTCCAAAAATGGACTTACGAATGGCCCTAAATGATCTCTAAAAATTCTAGATTTAATATATGTTATACTTCAAGATTTTATGAACAATTTTCATGTAGAACACTTCCTGAAATTCGGCCCACACAAGTCACAGAAAAAATAGCAAAATACAGCAACGCAGCAGCAACCTTACCGGAAATCAACCAACAAGCGCCACCAAGCAAACCAAGCACAACCAGCCACTAAACCAACTATCCACAGCCCTAATCCACCCCTAAACATGTCCATTAGTAACTCATTATCCTAACCAAGGCTTAGAGAGCACTTACACTTTGCCTAAGCAAGAAAACCGAGCGAAAAGAGCAGCTCAGTCATGGCAAAGCAGCAGCAGCAGCCTTAGCGGACAAGCGGCGGCTCACGGCGGAGTCGGGCGGAGATGGGGGCTAAACGGTGGTGCTGATCGGGCTGGAATGGAGGGCGAGAAGCAGTCGAAGCAAGAAGAAGCAGAAGCAGTGAAGTGGTGGAGAAGAAGCAGCAGCGGAAAAGAAAAGAAAGAAGAGAAAGAAGAAGAAAAGGAAAGAGAAGTAAGCAGCAGCAATAGCATGAGGGAGCAGCAGTTAAGACGTGGGGGAGCAGAGGAAGGTCAGCAGCAGTCAACAAAGCAGAACAGAAGCAGAAGCAATCAGCAGTGCAGAAGCAGAAGGAGTCAGCGGTCAGCAAGCAAAGCAGAAATCAGCAGCAACAATACTGAGGAAGAAGCAGCACGTGAGGGCAGCTTGAGGAGTCAGCCAAGCAGAGGTAACGTGGGGTCATCATGGGGAGGAATGGGCAGAAGTCACCAAGGTCAGCAAATGTCAGAAGCAGAAGACAGCAGCAAGGTAGAAGCAAAAGCAACGTGGGGGAGCAGAGTAGGGGCAGCGGAAAGAAGGAGAGGAGAGAGAGAGAGAGAGGAGAGAGGGGGTTTCAACTTCAACATTATCTCCACAAAAATAATTTGTCCACAATTTCCCTTTTTCGGTGACTCCGATCAACCTGATAATTAACCACGTTTAATTAGACGACGTCTGACAAATTAGTTGTGGAAATCTTGAAACCTCGACGCCCAATTCGGATTCTAATTAATGGCCAAATTCAATCGAATGCGACTTTAGCGTATCTCGAACTAACGGGCAGCTTTTAGGAATTACGCGTATCGACTCGTGGCCGATTCGATATCGAGCCACATTTAAGTTTACTCGAGCCATGACGACCTCGGTTGTTATGTAATTGCGAGGGTCAATCACTAGTTCCGAATGACGTGATCGTTCGGATTAGGTTTAGGATCGTTCGAAATTCATACCATGGCTAAACAGAATCACCTGCGATCCAATTGCACGACTTTTGCGAATCGTTCCATAACCATCCTTGGATCGGCCTTTAACGGCCCAAAATATTCTCTCGCCAATCCTTATAGTCGAAGTGTCAATCCATGGTCAAGTTCTTTGGTCCACGTACTTGATTCCTAACTAGCCATTCCCTAACGGTTAGTTTACTCGAGAGTGATCAATTCCGAGCGAGATTTCGCTGAAAGCGTATTAAAGAAATATTCATTTCATAAATTATGAAAATGGGTCGAAATTCAGAATGTCACATATATTCTTCTGTATCAAGATATGAAGTCTTGCCACTGGGCCTTCATTGTCACACCACAATGCTCACCGCCAAGAAATTATGCCCAACTTCATCCACCAAATATCGGAACAAACCACTAGCTCTGATACCAATTTGTTAGGAGCGAATAGCAGAAACCCGACACTTTTCGATCGTCGCCTAGGGAGATCATCAAGAGGGAGCCTAAGTTCGAGCCTGTTAACCTATCAAGTTGGGTCCACTTTCATTTAAAAGTTTAAGTCAATGAGTTATAAGTCAACTAGGATATATTAACTGCTCTACACCACACTTATTCTCCAATGTGAGATCTCTCTAACACAACTCACACGTGCATTCTAACAAAAAGTGACACTAGTTTCAATACAATCAACCAAGTCTAACTAATCCGATCTTCTTGGTGCAACCATTCCTCTTCTTCTAGTTGAAGCACATTGACTATTCTTGCTCAGCCTAGTCAGCATATTCCGTCGTTGTCAACA